GGAAGCTGGAGGGATATTACTGAAAAGTCGCTGAGTCTGCTAACGACAGATACCCCAGCGTTGCATCTGGCGTCCTCCCTCTCTTGGGGTGCAGTACTACGATGCCGTTGAGGTCACTCAAACCCCCAGAACTGAGTCTCTACTTCAGTCAATCCTCTTTGGGTATACATGTGAAAATAAACATAACAAATATTACGAATTTGGGAATGTTGTGTTGATTGTTGAGATGCCCACACTGAAGAGGATAAAAGTGCAAAGGATAAAGCCAAATCAATTGTTTGTGACCTCGCTGGAAGAATGGCGAGATCAAGCTATTGCTCGTGATTCTGGAATGGACTGTCATTTTTCAATCGCGCGCGGAATCTAATCGGTTTCCCTCAGCGCAGTGACTTTCGTCGATTTTTTAATTTTTATTATACAGATATTAATGGATGATTATTTTTATTCTACAGATATTAACTCAATGGATAGAAAACTGAATCTCCAATCAAACCCAATCGAATTGGTTTCATCTGTCAATATTAAGTGAGAGAGAAGAGATTAATTTTCAATACCAAGTGAATTACTCGAAAATCTCTTCTATATAGTTAAAATTTGTTTTTTTCTCCTTTTTTTTTAAGTCATTTCATATTAGACGTTTTGAAATGAAAATACCGTAACTATTTTTCATCTACATGAATGGAACTTTTTTTTTTAATTTACGATCGTCTCAAATTAGAAACTAGTTATTACCATCATTATGCATCTATATAAATAGTTTGGCAAGAATTTTCTTACAAATTATTTGTAAACAAAATATAAAAACCTTAAAGGGTATACATATGGTGTAGGAATTTAATTTCATAGATAATATCGACAAGAACTCATTAATTTCTATTTCGACTTTTGAGGACTTGTCGAGTAGCAGGTGAATTTCACCCCGGTTTAATTATTATTCCCTTGATTATCAGAGAAATTAGTTACGAAAAATTACAATATTTTTTATTCCATTTTCCGGCGCAGTAAAAAACAGATGAAAATGTATATGCAAAAGATAATTGAATTTAATTCACTGGTGTTAACAATAAAAAAATTCGTCACTTGGAATTAATTTTCCAGAAAAGAAGTTCTCTATCACTAGCAGCACAAATGTACGGCAGTTTGTAATGCCAAGTGATGCCTCCATAGAGTTGAACAGTCGCACTCAGGACCACTTGTTTTGTTCTTAAATTTGTCACTTTCAAGATATTGTCTGGTCGTCCGATGCTGGCAATTATATTCTCATTTCCACACGCAAATTTCAGGGATATTCCTCCTTCCACGTGGATTGTTTTTGATTCCAGGGGCCGACTGAAATTCAGGTGACAGAAAAATCAATGTGATTACTTATTTTTTTATTCATGCAATAATTTTGAATGAATTATATTATCGCTTTAATGTCGAAGCCATGTAAGTCTCATTTTTTTCACTGCTTCAACACTGAACTGACATATGTTCATTTTCCCTGCGAATTTGTTTTTCGTTCTCTATCTCACAAGATTTTTGGGGCAGCACATCCATTAATTTTACACTTAATTAATTAATTTCAACAAACTGACGTAACATAAATAGAGATGCTCTTTCAATCTTAGATATGGGTAATTTGTTATTCTCAACCCTCTAGTTAGTTTATTAGTAAAGTAAACAAAAATTATTTATCCGGCAGATAACCGATTGACTAAAAT